CTGTCCCGAATCAGGGCACCCCTGTCATTGGATCCCACCCATCCCTGCCTGCGTGTCACCCAGAGCCACCTCTGCCCCCGCCTGACTGACTCCCGCCTCCCCCCCCCCCCCCCCAGATGTGGCGATGCAGCTCAACGCAGGTGTGTTTGAATACAACGGGCGCAGTGGCTACCTGCTGAAGCCCGAGTTCATGCGGCGGCCAGACAAGTCCTTCGACCCCTTCACCGAGGTCATCGTCGATGGCATCGTTGCCAACGCCTTGCGGGTCAAGGTCGGGCTGGGCAGCTAGGCCAGGGGTGTCCTGCAGGGGCGGGGCTCTCTGCAGCCGCCTCCTCACCTCTCCGAGGTCCCCTGTCCCGCCCTCAGGTGATCTCGGGGCAGTTCCTGTCCGACAGGAAGGTGGGCATCTACGTGGAGGTGGACATGTTTGGCCTGCCGGTGGACACACGGCGCAAGTACCGCACTCGGACCTCGCAGGGGAACTCCTTCAACCCGGTGTGGGAGGAGGAGCCCTTTGACTTCCCCAAGGTGGGTGCCCCCATCCCCACCCCACCCTGCTCCAGTGTGCCAGGCACACATGGAGGCCGGGGGCGGGGGCTGGGGCTGGGGGATTCCCAGGGACCTCCGGGCCCCACGCCAGGCCCCCACATGCTGGTGGGTCAGGCTCCAGCTCCCACACTTTATGGAGTGAAAGGGGGAGACAGGAGGGGCGCCCAGCCTAAGAGCCCGTGAGGCAGGAAGGTCCCAGGCCCATTCTTATAGTCCAACTTCTAAGTCCTAAACGGCTCCGGAGAAGTTTCCTAGGCTGGGGATGAACAGCCTGGTCCTCGCTGGGGCTGGGGGAGAGGTGGGGGGAGGGAGGGTCTGTCTTTCCCCTCGGGTCAGGCCTCTGACGGTGGTTAGGCGTCTCCGTGGTGGTGGTGGTGGTGGGGCCTGCGGGCCGGCCTGCTGACCTGACAGGCCCCATGAGCAAGCACTGCCCCGGCTGCAGGTGGTGCTGCCCACTCTGGCTTCCCTGCGCATTGCCGCCTTTGAGGAGGGCGGCAAGTTCGTGGGGCACCGGATCCTGCCCGTGGCTGCCATCCGCTCAGGTGAGGCCCTGCTGGGCTTGTTTGGGCAACACTGAGGGCATGGAGACTGCCCCACCCAGGCCTGGCTGACCATGCCCTCCTGCTGGCTACAGGGTACCACTACGTCTGCCTGCGGAATGAAGCCAACCAGCCCCTGTGCCTGCCCGCCTTGCTGGTCTACACAGAGGCCTCTGACTACATCCCTGATGACCACCAGGGTGAGCCGGGGGGAGGGGGGAGAGGGGAGCCCAGCTGGGTGGTAAATGGACTGGGGAGGGCAAGGGAGGGTCTGCAGCCCTCTCAGTGACGCTTGCGAAGCTGGCGGCTAAGTGGGGCCAGGAGGACTCTCTCTGAACCCTGGCTTGCACTGCAGACTACGCGGAGGCCCTGATCAACCCCATCAAGCACGTCAGCCTGATGGACCAGAGAGCCAAGCAGCTGGCCGCCCTCATTGGCGAGAGCGAGGTGAGCCAGGGTGGGGGACGTGGTTGGCGGCGGTGGTGTGTGGAGGTGAGGCCCAGCCCAGGGCAAAGGACCCTGTGGGTTCATTCCCCATCCCTTCACGGCCCCTCCGTCTCACCGGTCCCCAGCCCCGGGGTCTGGCCTCTGCTCCAAGCCGAGCTGCAAGGCCTCCATGCAGGGCAGTTAGTTCCCTGCATGGACCCAGTCCCGCCCCCCTTTCTGGATCCTTCTATGTTACCCTGGTTAGAACATAAAACCTCGGGGAGCCCGTGCCAGCTCCCTGCCAGGCCCCGTGGGAGCGCCTCACCTGCATGGCTCCTTCACCGCCCTGGCAGCCCCTGTCCCTAGGTCAGAGGTGGGGCCTTGTTGCTTCCCTCCCTCAGCGGCCTGGAAGGCTCTCGGTCAGCTCAGGCCTGGGCTTGGGCCGCCACCGGCTCCGAGTGGGGCTGAAGCCACTTCCCCGAAGCAGTTGGAGGGCACAGAAGCTTTTAGAAGGAGGAGGCTCTGGGGGCCACGGGAAGGGCAGTGGCTTCTGTGGGGAGCTTCAGAGCAGAAGCTGGCCCGCATACCCAGACCCTGTCCCTAGGGGCCTGCGGCCAGCGGGAAGAGATGGCGGCAATTAGGGCTGCTTGGAGCTGTTAGCTGGAGAGGCTGGAGCCCTCCATACCATCACTTCCTCTGTTGATTTAATCAGGAGCTGAGCCGCAGGGACCAGGGTGGAGGGGCAAGGAAACCGGAGGATGCTTCAGGCTGGGCCGTTTCCAGGACAGCCTGCAAGCCCCTGAGCACACACTGTGAGCCTGGCACCCTGAGGACACGCCCCCCCCCCCCCGGGGGCCCAGGGGCTGCATCCTGTGCTCTCTCCTGCCGTAAGGCACCGTGGTGGTGCGACCGGTTAAGCACCAGGCTGTGCCTAAAGATTCACGACTCCGGGAACCGTGGGGAAGGGAGAGCAGTTCCCCTCTGTCCTGCAGGGTGGCCGCGAGTCGAAAAGGGGGTGGCGTGGGGTCACTGTGGGTGGGAGGCGACTGGCCACCCCATTCCTTCTCGATGGCTGGCTGGCAGTCCCATGCTCCAGGGGGGGGGGGGTTCTCACACCCAGACAGCACTGGCAACTGGAGGGCCAGGGGGGCCCAGCCTGGGGTGCTGCCCAGGACACAGGGGTCCTGGAGGATGTTTCTGAAAAGCTCACTCATTCTGCTTCAGGCCCAGGCTGGCCCTGAGACCAATCAGGAGCCGCAGTCTCAGCCGCTGGGGACTCTGCTGCCCTCAAATGCCACACCCTGCTTGCTAGACTCTGCCTCCCCTCGCCGGACGCCAGGCCCTCCCACCTCCCCCGCCAGCCCCTCCCTCAGCAGTCCAGGTAGGGCCAGCTTGGACTTGGGGGCGTAGGGGGGTGCTGAGAGGAGGGGCTTCACTACCCTTCCAGTCCCCTGCCTACCTAACGGCCTGCCTTGCTCCCCAGGCCAGCGGGATGACCTCATCGCCAGCATCCTCTCAGGTAGTGGTGGTCCTGCTGGGGGAGGCGGGGCTGCCCCTGGTTCCTGGCCCTTGGCTGCCCCAGCTGGGTCCCATGCCCCAGCCCCGCATCAGCCCAGCACGCCTAACTCTTCTGCTCCCAGAGGAGGTCCCGGCCCCGCTGGACCAACTCCGCACCCACAAGGCGATGGTGAAGCTGCGCAGCCGCCAGGAGCGCGACCTTCGCGAGCTGCTCAAGAAGCAGCAGAGGAAGATGCTGGCGGCCACCCGCCGCGCCCTCACCAGCCTGAGCCAGGCGCGCGCTGAGGGCAGGGGCCGGCGCCGGTGAGTGGCCGGTGGTGCGTGTGTGCAGGCGCGGGCATGGAGGGGTCCCCTGGCCCCCAGTTTCCCACGATTGAGACTTTTGCTCCCATCCGTCAAGCCAGCCAAAGGGCAGCCTTGCTCATAACAGACCCCTGGCCTGGTGCGCTGCCCACCTCCACCTGCCCAGCTCCAGCATCACCAGTCAGCTGTTCCCACAGAACAGGGGCCGCGGAGGACGAGGAGGATGCTGAGGAGGCCAGGCGGTACCAGGAGTTCCAGGAGAGGCATGTGCAGAGCTTGCTGGAGCTGCGGGAGGCCCAGGTGGACGTCGAGGCGGAGCGGAGGCAGGAGCACCTGAGACAGGTCGGGGCTGGCGGGTGGGCTGGCGAGAGCAGGCCTGCTGCTGGCACGAGCAGTCAGCAGACCTGAATCACTGCCCCTTGCGTCCCCAGGCGCAGCACCGGTTCCGGGAGGTGGTCCTGGACACACACGCGGCTCAGCTCAAGAAGCTGAAGGAGCTGAACGAGCGGTGAGGCCCCGGGGCTGGGGGCCGACAGGTGCCCCGCACGGGGCCCTGGGCCTGGTCTTGACCCTGCCTCTCCTGCCCGGCCCCTTCAGGGAGAAGAAGGAACTGCAGAAGATCCTGGACCGCAAACGCCACAACAGTATCTCGGAGGCCAAGACCAGGGAGAAATACAAGAAAGAAGTGTAAACCACCCCCTCCCCACCCCTCCTGGGCCCAGAGCAATGGGGACCAGGGTGGGGTGGGGGCTGAGCCCCACCTGCCTGTCTCCTCCACAGGGAACTGACAGAGATTAACCGGCGGCACATCACGGAGTCAGTCAACTCCATCCGCAGGGTAAGCTGCACGCCCCACCCCTCCTCCTCTGGACAGCAGACGCCTCGTGTGGGGGCTGAGGGCCCTGGCTCCCTGGACTCAGTGCCGGTGCCTGCCCTCAAGGGTCCTCTAGAGCAGTGGTTCTCAGCCTTCCTCATGCCGTACCCCTTTCATACAGTGCCTCATGTTGTGCTGACCCCCCAACCATAACATTATTTTTGTTGATGCTTCATCATTGTCATGTTGCTACTGTTCTGTTATGAATCAGGTGACCCCTGTGAAAGGGTCCACCGAAACACCCCCCCCAGGGGTCACCACCCACAGGTTGATAGCTGCTATTCTTAGAGCCCTGTGCTCCTGTGCCCAGGCTTGCATCCCCCCCCGCCCCCCCTGCCTGCTGCCCCATCTTCAGGCCTGGCATGTTTGGCTGCAAGGGCCATCACTGAACACAGCCCCCCAACCCTGGGGACAGTGGCCCAAGCTGAGCCCTTGCCTGTCCTGCAGCTGGAAGAGGCCCAGAAGCAGCGGCAGGAGTGCCTGGTGGCCGGGCAGCAACAGGTCCTACAGCTGCTGGCCGAGGAGGAGCCCAAGGTGAGGTTCTGGGGCGGGCTGGTGGCTAGGGGGTGTGTGCTGGACAGCCTGGCCTTGGCCGTGACACCATCCTCTGCCCACAGCTGCTGGCCCAGCTGGTCCAGGAGTGTCAGGCACAGCGGGAGAGGCTGCCCCAGGAGGTCCGCTGGAGCCTTCTGGGCGAGACTTCGGAGGGGCTGCTGGGGGATGGGCATCTGGTGGCCTGTGCCAGCAATGGCCACGCCCCCGGGAGTAGCAGCCAGCTGTCCGGTGCCGAGTCAGAGAGCCAGGAGGAGAACACGAAGCTCTGAGCTGGGCAAGAGGTGGCCGCAGGGCCAGGGTGGTGACTCAGGAGGCTAAGACACTAATGCTTGTTTATTTTTAATGTTTTATCTTTAGAAATTTTATTTTTTTAAACTTGGGGCAAGCCCCCCCACCCACACTAACTCCTCCTTCCTTCCCTCCCTCCCTCCCTTTGTTTCATTGTCCTGGCCCCCAGCCCCTGGAAAGGTTCAGGGTCACCTCAGCCAGAGGGACCTTGCCCATGACACCCATGCCCAGCGTGGGAGTTGGCCCCCCCAGTTCCCCAGGGGCCATAGGGTGGGGACTGTGTGCTCTGGGAAGTAGAGGCCACTCTGTTCTTTGGGATTTTTTTACAACAATAAAAGTGGATTTCAGGGACCCGTGTGTGCAGCGTGGTTTGGGGTTAGGCAGTGCTGGGCCCTAGACCACTTCCCTCGTGGGCCTCGGTGTCTGCATCTGTCAATTGGTTGAAATCACTGACTCCCCCAGCAAAGGGTGGTTGGCTGCACCCCTCACCTCCCTCATGGGAACTGAGCAATAGGGCCGCCTTCGAGCTTTCCTGGCTCCTGTGTACCCCCCCTGCTTTCACCTGCCCCATTACCCTCTCCCTCTGAGCCTCTCCCTACCGCCCCCCCACCCCAAGCTCTGGCCTCTGTTCCAGGAAACCTTCCCTGCCCCCACCTTCCTGTTGCCTGATCTGACCCAAGCACCCAGCATCTTCCGCCGGCCGGGCTACTTGGGGGCCCCACATGAGCTGCTTCTGTCTAGGGGCTGGACCAGCGAGGGGTGGGAAGGGGGCCCGGGTGACCTCTGGGGGCAGGGAGACCCGGTGCCGTCCTCACCCCACCGTGAGGGAGATGTTCTACCTGTTTTACAGGTGAGAGAACTGAGGCTCAGAGTGAAGTCGTGCGTCCCAGGCCACAGCTCAGTCAAGACATCCTGATCCTGAGGCCCAGGGCAGGCCTGGCTTCCCCATGGTGGACAGACCTCCGCAGGCCTGAAGGAGGAAGGACCCACGTGGAGCGGCAGGGACCCCCAGCGAGGGTGCTGGCCAGGCTCTGCCGCAGGGCCGGGCTGGCCCTTCTTCAAGGCCTCTCCCTGCTCCCTGGCTCCCAGGGCTGAAGCCTCCCTCCAGAGGAAGGCAGCCTCTTATCTGGGCTTATCTCCTGCCAATTGACTGTCTGCTTGGCTTTGTTGTTGCTGGGGCCTCAAACAGATGGGGTGGGGAGGCCAGAGGGGCCTCCTCCTGTGGGGGTGGGGTGGGGTGGGGGTGTCAGTGTCCTAGCCTGCCCAACTCCCATCTTCTGGAATCTTCCTGGCTCCACTTACAGAAACACTACCTGACTGCCTATCAGTGCCAGGTCTGAGGTCCAAACTCCTGGGTGGGGTGCCCAAGCCCCTGACAGGCCGGAACCCTGCTGCTGCCTCACCCCCTTTGTGTTTGGAGCCTCAGCTCTAAATGTAGCCCCTCCTGGAAGCCCTCTCTACCTTGCTGGAGGGGACCAGTCTCACCCTGGCTGTGGACCCAGGCTTGGGGCGCTCGGCAGGCAGCCACCCCTCTGAGGTTGGCTCTCCTCTTGGCAGGAGGGAGCAATGGCCCGGGCTGCAGAGGGTGCCAATAAATCCTCCAATTGCATGACAAGCTCTGGTCCCCAGGCCACTGGAAGTTTGGCCGGCCTTCGGCCCTCCCCGCCCCCGCTGCTCTGGCCTCGCGCCTGCCACAGTAGCTGCTCACAAGGACTGACCCACATAGGAACAAATGACCCTCCCTTGGGGGCCGCGGCACGGTTTGCAGAGCGCAGGCATTCTGGTGGCCAGCTGGGCTGCGGTTCCCAATTACCACATTAGAGAGAAGGACCCGGAGGTCAGTGGGGCGGTCTCTGCGGCCGGGAGCCTAGGCTGGCTGGGCTGCCCCACCTCGGCCCCCTGGCCACGGGGCTGGGCAAGCTGCTCCACGCGCCCGCGTCAGCTCGCCCTGCCCGCGACGCCACAAATGACCGGGCACCGGGAGGCAGATGCGGGCTTTATTCGCGCTCGGAGGCGCGAGCGCCGGCCCGCAGCAGTAGCGGGCGCGCCGGACGCCGGTGCGGCCATGCTTAACCCCGGCCCCTTCCTGGGCGCAGGGGAGAGGGAGGGAGGGAGGTGTCCGCGGACCTTCCCTGGGCCGAACCCTCGGCGGCCCCGGCCCGGAAGGAGGCGGGCTCCGCGTCAGACGGACTCCTTGGCGGCCAGCGCGGGGCCTTGGCTGCGGCGGGCTTCCGGGCGGGAACGTCACTGGGAGGGGGCGGAGCCTCCTCGGCCCAAGTTGCGATCCCACCAGGACTGGATGACGCGTGTCCAGCTGGCGCTCTGCCGCATGTGCGTCGCCGTACCCTCGCTCTTCGGGCGAGGAAGGCCCTTCGGAGCGGGGAGAGAAGGGCCAGCTAGCTCAGCGGGCGTCGGAGCCGGGTCCGGCAGCGTCCGGAAGGCAGGCGCCCTCGGCCTGAGGACCTGGGGGAGAGGGCGCCTGCCGCCGAGGGGGGGCAGCAGAGGGGACACTGCCCTGAGGAATGGCGCTAGGACTACAAGTCCCAGAAGCCCCGCACAGCGGCGGGACGCCGCACGGCAGCCAGCCCTCCTGCTGGCGGGGTTTGGAGAACGCGAGCTCTGAAGGCAAGTGGGGTCCGGGTCCCTGCGCCTCTGGAACGTAAGATTACTCCGGAAAAGGGGTGTGTGTCCCCTTCCACTAACTTCATACATACGCAGCGGAGCGCAGGACTACAACTCCCGACATGCCTCGGGGCTGGGATTTCGTGGCTTAGGGGTGGGGGCGGGGCAAAGGGCGCGGACTACAAACCCCAGCATGCCCCGGGACCCGGGAAGGGACCGGCTGGCGTGAAAGGGTGGGGGCTACAGGTCCCGAACCCCGGGGGTGGGGGTGCTGCAGGCCCGCGCTCACCTTGAAAGAGCCCTCGAACTCGTCGCTCATCCTGCGGAGCTCGCGACCATATCGCTGTGCAGCCCAGAGGTTGGGGGGCGCGGAGCGCGAGCGGCCCCGGAAGGGGCTGAGTTCTTCCTCCAGCCCGTCATCCTCTTCAGACCCCGTGGGGTAGGAGCTGTGGCGACTCCGGGGTTCCACTGCCCCCGCGCCTGCAGAGGCCACGAGGCGGAGCGATGTGAGCCTGGCATCCCAGCCCTTCTGTGCCCGCCCCGCCCCGCGGGCCTGCCTCAGCTGTGGCACTGCCCACCGCAAACCATCGCCGTATCACTGCGCGTCTGTCGGTCCCCCATTAGGCGAAGGCTGGCACAGCAGCTGGCTCGCGGGGCTTCCGTGCTCATCAACCCGCTACACGTGTTAGTGAACTCCTGGACTAGGCGGTACAATGAGACCTAACATTCAGGGGGCAGGCTAGCAGCCTAAAGGCGATGCCACCGGGGCTTCCTGTAGTCCCGTCCTGGGACTTCCCAGCAGGCTCCTGAGTCCTCAGTCCTGCCGTCGGTCATGGAAACCAGTCACTGGAACGGGGCTGGGCCTACAGGGACACTGTGTTCTCTCACTGTCACCTTTACAAAACGTGGGGTCCCTGGAGAACAAGGGCCCGTGTGTGCCCCTCCAGCCTCTGTGGTGCAGAAATCATTCACCAACTGTTGACTGTTTTAGGATCTCTTTGTGGGGCCCACTACTCCTCTGTCAGCTTGTGGTACTGTGGGGGCTTGAGTGTCACTGTGATGCTGAAAGCGGTGCCCACCACGATGTCAAACCCCAGGGTCACTTGTGGTGGACAGGCTTCTACAGAGCTCCCAGACTCTGGTGGAGTGAATGACTGAACAGGGCTCTTCTCTCCCTAATCTTTGTTGCTCCCACCAAATAAATGACTGGCTGGGGCTATGCAGATGACTTGCTTGTGGCCCACTAAAGGGATTGAATAGATTGCCAACCATGTAAATAAATGCAAATGAAGTCTGTTGAACTCAAATGAGGGAATTGGTCAGCTTTGCCATTCCGCTGGGCTTGAAATGAGCTAGAGAGGACACGGGGACCTCACGGCCATCAAGAAAGAAGGGACTGATATGGTGCACACCCATAGGGGTTGGTGTTCCTGTCCTGGGAGCCTCCTAGACCACTGGTCCTCACCCTTACTCATGCCTGGACCCTTTCATACAGTTCCTCATGTCGCGGTGACCACCCCGCTCCCCCACCCCAGCCATAAAGTTATCTTCGTTGCTACTTCATCACTGTCATTTTGCTATTGTTATGAATCGGGCAACCTGTATGAAAGGGTCTTTTGACCTCCAAAGGGGTCATGGCCCACAGGCTGAGAACCGCTACCCTAGACTCCAGACGGAGACAGAGTGTAACACAGAGCACAGGAAGAGCCAGCAGTGCCGCAGCAGCAATGATGGCAGCACCTCTTAACAGAGATGGCTGCACACGCCACAGAACAATGCACCACCTGAGATCACAAGGGCAGCCTGTTTGAGTGGACACCTCGTTGGGGCTATACACTTGTACCTAAGGCACAAGAAAACGTTTGTTCAAAGGAAGAAAGCAAAAGACAGTGTGCTGTGCAGGCGGGCAGGCACCGGAGGCCAGCACAAGCTGGCTGTGGGAGCACTTGCTGACCCATGGAGCTCAGAGTTGCAATACTGGCCTAAGAAGATCCCAGCAGGACCCTGCCTGGCAGAACCCAGTGGCAGCAAGGCCACCAGCAGGGCCTGGCTACTGAAGACCCCTGCAGGGCCCAGAGGCAGAGGGCAAGAAGACGGTGTCCTGAGGACAAAGCTAGGAAATCTCAGCCATAACCAAATACCTTGAAGGACTGAGTCACTGGGCCTGGGGGCTCAGGACCATAGTCTTGGGGGGGGCGGGGGGCGGGGAGATAACCTACTACATCAAGTAGAATAACTTAGCTCACAAAAAGAATGTTTTACAATCTACTTGGGTGAGTTGTGACTGGGGCCTTCAAAGCTCATTAGCACTGTCAGGTGCAAAGACTGGCCTCCCTGTCCAGAGGGAAAGACAGAGTGGGAATGATGGCGACTTACTCCCATGGACTAGGGGGCCACGCAGACCTCCATCTCCACAACCCTGAGACCAGAAGAACTAGATGGTGCCCGGCTACCAACTGCTCTGAAAGGGATTCTCAGGAAAAGGTAAGGGAGCGTGGGAGAAAAATGTAGAACAAAACTCAAAATCATAAAAGGGACCCAGCTTACTGATAGGAACACCGCCCCCCCCCCCACTGTGTCCCTAAGTCACCTTTGAGGTCTGGAACTGAACTCATTCCGTGGCTCAAATTTCAGCCAGACTATAATAGACAAGTCCACAAGAAGAACAGGAACACTTGTGAGGCACCACACCTTGGAACCATCCATCATTTCCGATGAGAAGGGCAGCATTTACCGGAGGGCAACACCTTCAGAAGAGTTAGGAAGGAAGACAGCAAGACCACACTCACTGCCACCGCGTCAGTTCTGACTCCTAGGGACCCCAGTAAGACAGGGTCCCACAACCCCCGGGGCTTTCTGAGACTGTACCTTTATGGGACTAAGCATCCTCATCTTTCTCCCCTGGAGCAGCTGGTGGTTTTGAACTGCTGACCTTGTGGTTAGCAGCCCAACAGGAAACCCAGGACGCCTACCAGGGCTCCCTTAGGGAAGAAGGAGTGGAAAATAAACAGGGGGAAGCCGGCTAAGTGATGGTATATTGAGGAGATGGAACAAAAACATGCCTGGATTGTTGAATGTTAAACTGATCATCTTCCCTGTAGACCTGCATCCAATCCACAATTTAAAAGGTTAGAAAAGAAGAAATTGCTCTGATCCATGAACCACATCCTGAATTCCGCCCTGTTACTTCCCTCCCCAAGCCCTCCTAACTCTGAGCATGGACTGTGGGTTCTGTGTGACAATTACAATGGGTCACAGAGCTCACTCTAAGTAGCAGTCCAGAGATCGAGCGAAGTATTCCGCTTTAAAGTGTCAGATGGCAAAGCTGTCACGTCGAAGGCTAAGGTGCGCCTGACCCCAGCGATGGCCTTTTCAGTGGCCTCATATACTTGCATAAGCTGGACATGGAAAACACGGGAGGCCGCAGAATGGATGCCCTTGCAGGTATACTGAATCTACCATGACCATCGGAAGAACGAACAAGCCGGTCGTGGAAGGAGTACAGCCAGCAATGTTCCTTAGAAGCAAGGATCACGAGACTTTGTGTGCCTGCTGTGTGAGCCAGCGGAGAGGCCAGTCCCTGGAGAAGGACGCCATGCTTGGTGCAGCAGCAGGTCGGCGACAGAGGAGGACCCTCAGTGAGATGGACAGACACGGTGGCTGTCACCACGGGCTCCAACATCGCAAACACTGGGAGGACGGTGTGTGATGGGCAGGTGTCCTACCGGGCCTGCGACCCACTGGATGGCACCAGCAGCGTCATGGAGGCCCTCGCCACAACCTCATCCTCCTACCCTTTCTGAGGGGTGAGGCCCATCGCCCCCATTTTACAGATGGAGACAGAGGCGCAGAAGAGGTTAGACACCTGCTCAGGGGCACGGATCGGGGAGGTCCCCACGTTCCTCTGAATCCAGTGTGCCCCTTCCCAGGGTTGACCCACCCTTGGACCCGAGCCTGCTCCCTCACCTCCCGTGGCTGTGCAAAGGTCACCCACAGGAGAGTGTAAGAGTACCTTGCACACAGGCTTCAGGCTTATCTGGCCTGTGTTGTGTGTCATCTCCTCTCCCCACCCCCTTCTTGGCAACCACACCCAACATCTTACTAGGCCCTAAAACTACTTCCAGGAAGGCCTTACCCCAGAGCTAGGGAACAGAATGGAAGAGCGGCTGGGAGAGGCTGAGATAAGATGCAGGCTAGATTGGGAAGCTGGTGAGGCGGGGGATGAATAACATGATCTTGATCTTGGCCTCCCCCTAGGTCAGCTCCAGGCCCCGGCCTGGGTCTCCCAGGTGGGTCAGCAGAGCTACCACTGAGCTTGGACCGACCAGGGCTAGGCAGAGCAGACACAGGCAAACACCTCGCGCCCCGCCCACCGAATCAGGATGGGGGTGAGGGGCTGGAGGAACTGGAAACCAAAATGGAAAAGCGCAGGCGGACCCCGGGGGAGGGCTCAGTAAGTAGGTAGACCCCACCTCCACCTGCTGCTGTGTGGCCTTGGACCAGTTCTCCAATTCCAGGCTCCCTCCGGCCCCAGTATGGGCCACTTGGGGGCCTGTGGGGTGGGGCAGAGGGAAGGACCCCCTGGGCTCTTGGCCCAGAGCATGCTGTCTCCCAAAGCCAGGCCATGCCAGGCCATGGCATCCAGTGTGCCCACTGAAGTTTCAACACATCCTTCGATTTACTAGACAAACCCAAGGCCTTGCCTTTCCCAGGAACCCCCAGGAACCCCCTGGGGAGGGGGGCCTTGGGGCTGGAGCAGGGTCAAGCCTGCCTATCTTGGGTCAGCTCTCACCCCTCACACTTTGGAAAGTGGTGTGGCTTCACCCTGGGTGGGTGCCCAGACCTGCAGACTCAAGTCCCCACCTCCCTATAGCGTGGCTGGGTGGCTGGCAGTGCTCCCCCGCCCACAGCCTCTCCAGCTATCTGTACTTTCCGCTTTAGGCTTCTGCACATCGAGGGCCTGCTTATGTAAGAATTTGCACACAATGAGCATGCTGGTGTTCTAGAAAATTCCAGGCGGCGAAGCAGCGCCATCAGGCAGGGCAGGGTCCAGATCCAGCCTAGGCTACTGACTAGGTCTGTGCTAGCTTGGGACAAGTTTCTTCGCCTTCCTCACCCTTAACTGTTCCAACACAAACATGCGTGTATCCACACGCCCAGGATACACACCTACGGGCAAGCCCACATGTGGACCCTGTGCCGCAGGCCTCTCTGGAGCAGGCAGGCCACTGGCCGGGCCTCCCCCCAGGTCTGGCTTCCACTGGGTGGAGGGGGCGGCACTGTCCAAGCCACCAAGTGCCAAAGCTTGTCAGCCCATGGGCCCAAGAAGGACATGCCCCACTTGGCTGGGAGCTGGTGATATCAGAACACGACTGGCACAAGGGCTGGCTGTTCGGGCCATCTGGCCCTGGCGCTGCTGCTCAACTGCTCGGTTAAAGCACTGTAGGGCCAGCGAGTTATTTTATGTGGTTCTTCCAACC